TGCAATTGAGTATGAAACAAAATCAAGTTAATATAATTGGAACAAAACGGGTGGACTTTGAGTGTTTCAAGGTTAGCTAAGTTTGGAGAAGGTTTGATTATTAAATCTGTCTCATCTCAGTGATGAAGTATCATATTCTTGTGAAATTTCCAAACTCGCATGTGTGATGATCACGGCTCAAAATTAGATCACATGGAGCTTGTAGCAGCAAGGGTATTGTCCGTATAAAAATGGTTACAGACTATTGGGTTTGTTGTTGTTTATTCATTAAAAACTTGTTTGCTGAAACAAATTTGTGTTTATGTTGGAACAGCCGATGGATTGTATTCTTTAAGAATGTAATCATTGGAACCCAACAAATTAGTGAAACAGAAACAAGTGAACCACAAGAGTGTATAAGTTGGAGCATAGAGATAATGTGTGAATTACATACAGTAGTTTGTTGCAACATAAGGCTTATGTGGGAACAGAAGGTTAGTGAGGGTTTGATAAGTTACCAAAGAAAGGCTCATGTTTGAGTTTTTTGAAATGTCACTATCACGAAGTTTTTTGCAAATGAGTGACGATGAAAGACTTGATAAACTGATGGAAAAATCAGTGTTAAAGAAACCAAGAAGAGTGAACAAGGTTATACTCTTGTGATTCAAAGTAAATGAGTCTAAAAGAGAGATGAGATTTGCTGGTTCTACGTTAACTTGACATAGAACTCAAAGTCTCAGGACATTGCTCATGATTAAGTATACAAGTTCTAATGACATAAAGTCAGAAAGTATACGAGTTCTAATGAGTAATGACATAAAGTTTAAAAGGTACGTGAAAGAGTTTAGATGTCTGAAGCTATAACATTAACATGTTACAACTCATCAAAGGTAAATATGACTAAAGGAAATTAATGCATGATCAGTTTGGTGAACATCAAATAAGAGCTTCAATCAAAGTAAACTGAAGTGAAGCTGAGTTTGTAAAGGCGCATCGATGGTGTTTGATGTCACATGGTGTCTAAAGTCATATTCAGAATGTATTGAATCAGTTTAGGATTTTTCTTATCTGAAAATCAACACTTGTTGCTAAAGCTAATTGAGTATAACCCATGGAGGTACAAAGAATCAATTAAAGATCAGTGGTTAAGGTTAGGGTTATAAGTTATTGAAGGTGTAGCTGTACTTGAAGCAGTTATTGTACCAGATGAAGTGAAGGATGGAATGCCACAAGCATGAAGTACGTGACAAGCGAAGCATTTGGAGTGAGGATCTAGACGAGTATCTGAGCTGGACCAGTAGGAATGGGAGTCTTAGAAAGAAAGCAAAGCTGGATGGGAATAACGGAGCAGATCACGAAGAATGGAAGATTTCCTTAAACATGCAAATAGGAAATATGCACCAAGCGACAAAAAAATGGAAGCTGTGGTGTAGGGTTTTCGGCGTGTATAGCCGCTTAGTTTACTAGATATAAATAGACGTGTTAAAGCATTGTATAAGCTTAACATAACTACTAGAGAGCACTTAGCATAAGGATGAGAGATTCGAGTATTAAGGTCTGCATCAAGGGTTAAGAGTTTTTCTAGGGGAGTTCTGAGATCAAGTACAGATTGAAGAACAGAGATAGCTAGAGCAACAGATCAAGGTGTGTCTTGAGTCTGTTTTAAATCGTGTTATAAACTTGTAAGGTGTATTAACATATTTACTAGCAATAAAGTTCAGTTAAAGGAAAAACTTTGTGTTAAGTTGTGTTGTTGTTCTTGAACTAAGACTCTTGCGGTTACAGTTATATCTGAGAGAGAAAGAGAGAGATGTGAGAGAAAGTACTTCAATTCTTAGTGGATGGTTGAGAAACCATTTTCCCTCCTCATATAAGACGTATGTATATTATTTAAAGAGCTGAACTCAAGATGATTAAATTGCTTTGTGAACAAATTAAGTTGAATCTGTGAATCAATTGTTCATGGAATGTGAAATTGAATATCGATATGTAACTTTTTTATCCATTAAATTTATTTTTTTTAATCTATTTAGATGAACATTTTGATTAGACAGTAATACAAAACTTTTTGGTTTTGCTTAGGTGGACATTCGAAAAAAAGAACGTTCTCATAATATTTATGATTTCATTTTAGTATAAAAACAAATCGATAAATTTTGAATACCTGTCTGATAAAATAATTAATGAATATATATAATTTTAAAACTCACGATTCGAAGTAAGCGGGACCGTCGTGACGACGTCGGCTATGTACATTTGCTAGATTATTATTAATAAATTTGGTTCATGAATGAAGACTGCAAAAGAGTTGCACTGTCTATGTTGGTGACCCCAAAAGTTACACAGTCACCAAAAGAGATTCTGATTCTTGTTCAATCTCATCCACAGAATCTGTTACTATTTTTTTCCTTTCATTATTAATTTAGAAACAATTTTTTTTCGAACAAGTTGATGTTAAAAATATAGATACCATCGTTTGATTTTGTAGGTTTTAGATAAAAATTTATTTCGAAAAAAAATTATCATTACGAAAATAACTTTCTAAAACTGTGATTTTTACAAAAATATCAAGTTGAAATATATATCATAATTGATTTTTTTTTTAAATTAATGAGAATTTTTAACTGAGTCATATCATTTTTTTTTAAAGTCGATCATGTTATCTTTTTTAAACCACGTCACAAATTTTTTGCTCAAAATGTTTGTGGAGCGGACATAGGTCGAAGCAAAACTCCAAAATTCACTTCGCAAATAATGTTTAGGGGTGAATGTTAATTTCCTTTTCTGTTTTTTTTTTCCTTTTATTTCTTGTGGTCTTGTAGATTCATCTCCCCTGTGATGCTTAAGAAACGGCATTCTGTCACTTCGTTATATAGTTACATATGAAAATGATATATCAAGGGCACATATAATTTGTAACTTGTAAGTAAAAGTACTAGTATTTACTTAAAGTTATGTACAATATAATTTAACTGACTCGTTGCCGTCTGACAGTGTTAATATGTTTTCAATCTCACCATAACTTTTGTAAGCCTGGCCCACACTCATGTGTTATAATCGAAATCAATTTTGATATATCATCAGTTAATCTAAATTATCTTATTCTTTTTAACAAAAAAAAATTGCCTTGCGCAATTACATTTTATGAACTATGTGTGTTTTTTTTTGTTATATGGCATAGTGGTAACTGCTTAAATAGAAAAATGAATAGGCACATAATAGAAATCCCTACAAAGATCAAATGGTTCGTATTGAAATTTAATTTTAGAAAAAAAAATTTAATTAATCTGATAGAACGCTTAAGCTTGTACTATTGTCGTTACGCTGATCGAAATGATGTTTTTTTTAATTTATTTAGCATATATGTCCATTGTATTGGTCTCGATCATCAGAAGTAATCTACAAATTTACTTTTAGCATATGATTTCTTCATTATATGTCAACGTAAACATTTTTGAACCAATCAATGTCGAAGTCGAGTATGGATTTTACGACTTAATGATCGAAATCGTAATAATTGTAATTTCTACTATTTATTTCCGTTAGATTAGAAGTAACGTCTTAATTAACTGATAAATGTCAAGTTTTGGAGATTGGTCTTAGTTTTGGCATGGTATTTTCCGATTGAATAAAGAAATGATCGTTATCATCATGATATTTTAAGGTTATATAACTCAAAAAATGATACTAGTGTATAACATTCAAAGGAAAGGTGCTCGAAGATTTTTTGCTTTCATTCTTCGATCAATCAAAAGGAAATAAACATACATCTTTTTTTTTTGCGAAAGAAATAAACAGACATCTTAATAGGAGCTATATGTCTATATATAATATATACTAATATACATATCACACGCTAATGTTTGTTTTACAACCAGTCCGGATCAACAAGAACGTTGGATTTAATAAACCTATTTAAAAGAAGAAAAAAAAGCAAATCTTTTGGTCAATTGGGAAAAACTTGAAAATAGTCAACACACGTGCGCACAACCGAAGTCAAAGATACTCTCCAACGTTGCCTTGCAAGTGAGCCCACGACGGCCAACAGTTTTCTCTTTATTTATTTTTTGAACAGCAAGTTTCTCTTTATTCACTTGAACAAATTTTCTGGTGAGAACTTCATTTTGTGTCGTTACCAAAACAAAATCCATATAATACAAAATTAATAATCAATAACATTATATATTGACACAGCAATCAACAATGCTCTTTAAATCTAGTGAATAGCTAGAGTGAACGTAACTCAGGAAAACATCTTCACTTAAATTTTTTTTTAACCTATCTTCATTTAATTCTTCAAGTATTTGTAATTAGTACATTTAATCTACAAGACTACAACCACGATAGTTGGAGAATTAATATGACAATTCTAAATACTTGAGGAATTAAATGCACATTTTCACTTGAAGCCAACGGTATTAAAACAATTTTTAGAAAATTTGTGCTCTAATTTCTCTACTAAAATTCATGTTTGTCTATTGCAACTGCGCCTTCAAGAAAATAAAATAAAATTAGAAATTTTTATGATATCCATAAAATTACGGTCTACCAATTTGAATAAATATATTTCAAGACAACAAATATACGTTAATAATATTTTGCATGTACATCGGTGCATGTTTGCAATTATAGATTGTTTTTCTTTTTTTGATAAATACAATTATAGATTGAGAACGGTTATATAACAACTTACGAAATAAACTTCATTAATGTGGTTACCGGTTGACATGACTATATGTATCCAGAAGTCTAGAAATCCTTTATATTTAAAAGATGAAAATTCAATTGCGAAGAAAACTCAATGGACTTATAATATTCTTACATTATACATGTCGAGGGCCGACTATTAGGTTTTTGTTAGGACCCACATTTGTTTCCCCGCCTATGTATTTCGCAAATTAAATCCCGTCAAACACATGCAACAGAAAAACGCACAAACACGTATACGAACACACGCAAGAACAATCCTTGTTCATTGTTCAATATTACAAACACTATACACACACATACATAAAAAAATTATGGACCAAGGAGGTAGAGGTGGCGGCGGAGGTGAGCAAGTAAAGTACCGGGGAGTTCGAAGACGGCCTTGGGGAAAATACGCGGCGGAAATACGAGATTCGAGGAAACATGGTGAACGTGTGTGGCTTGGAACGTTTGATACCGCAGAGGAAGCAGCTAGAGCCTATGATCAAGCCGCCTACTCCATGAGAGGCCAAGCAGCGATTCTGAATTTCCCTCAAGAGTATAACATGGGAAGTGCTGGCTCTTCCGCGGCTATGGTGGCTGGATCTTCCTCCTCCTCTGCTTCTTCTTCTAGGCAAGTTTTCGAGTTTGAGTATTTGGATGATAGTGTTTTGGAGGAACTCCTTGAGGAAGGAGAGAATCATAGCAAGAACAATAGTAACAAGGGTAAGAAGAAGTAAGTGAAATATTATAAGTTATCATTTCTCACAAAAGCGACGACAACATTTATGTAATTAGTATATGCAAAGAAATTACATGCAATGATCGTATGATCATGTTTAGAGCAAGAATCAATGTTTTGGACTAAAATGGAGCGAATGATGATCTATCTATTACTTTTGGAGGATTATATATTTATTTGAAAATAATGAGATCATAGGAGAGCTAGCAGCCTTTGATAATTGTTTTGAATGTAAACTATATGATATCCGCTGATATGTTTTTTCTGTTCCGCTAACATACACTTATCGCTTTGTGTGTCACCAATCGAATCCAAAGCATAACATCACTAAAACGAAATTGGAATAACTAGAAGATACAAAATTTACAGTAATGGATAATGGTTAGGTAATATTATTTCCAGTACCATTAACTTTTAATGCTGTATTAAAAGTGATTTATATCTTACCGGTAGGCTTGTAAATTCGGATATCCCTTCGGATTCGAGTCGATTTTTCAGGTTTTAGATACCTAAAAAATAGAGGTTTAGAATCTATTCGAATATTTCCTATTTTAAGCCAGGTATGGTATCCCATTGTTCAATTTAAATATTTTTTTAACAAATATAAATAAAGACTTTCAAATATTTCGAGTAGTATGGCTATTTTGATCTAAACATAATTAGTATAATTGGTTTATAATTGTATATTTTGGATATTTTGGTTATTTCAAAACTAAATATAGATAGTATTATATCTATAATTATATTTCTATATTTTGTATATTCAGGTTTCGGTTCGGTGTCAATTTGGTTTGGATACCCAAAATATTTATAAGAGGAACCAATATTTAGAACTATTCGATAGGTTAAGTACATTCTAATTCAGTCTATTTCCAGTTTGGTTTTTCGATTCCGAGTATTTTACCCAGGCCTACTTACTGTGCGCTATGGTAAATGTTACCACTCAACCTTGATCATTTTTATGTTTCAATAGAACATTGAGATCGATCTACAACTAGAGTCGGCCATGCATAAAATCTTTTTTCTAAAAGGCAGCCGCTTAACCATCTAGTTCTGCATGACATTTCCACCATGATTTAAACCTAATCAAGTCAAGAAATAATGATGTCCAATTAACATTCACCTTGATTAATTTCAACTTATGTTCATAATTTTACTGAGAATAATAATATATTGGCCTAATAACTTTTTCATGTACTTTATGCAATTTTAAACACAGTATTGTATCAAAACTATAAAGTATAATGGATAAACATATTAAAAAATATTAAAAAATTCAAAAAATATTATTTCCAACTTTTTTGTTTGGTGCTAAACCTATTTCAACCGTTTGACAAGTGCCTAGCGAAATTGAAATTTTGAACAAAGAGGAAAATAAAGAAGTTATTCCACTCAACTTCTGCCATTTTCCGATTCTCAAAGAAACTAGAAGTCCTGAAACCTCTCCTACGCAACCTATGTAAGGAGAGATTTGGAAACTTGGTAAAGAGAACGAAGGAGACGCATACGGTTCTTTGTGAGAAACAAAACGAAACTCTGTTACACCCCTCCTGTCAGGCAATGAATGATGAGGCTGAAGCTTTCAGCAGATGGCAATTCGTAGCAGGTCTGGAGTAGAGTTACATGCGTCAAAAATCAAAGCTACGTTGGCTTTCGGTGGGGACAACAATAGCAAACAGTTCCACATCGCGGCGATAGAGAGGGTAATGAAAAACACGATAAATGAAATGCACTGTGCTAATGGAGATATCGTGAAGACAAGCACAGGGATCAAAGACGAAGCAGTTAGATTTTTCACGGATTTCTTACAACACACGTCTACGGAATGTGAGGGTATCTCAGTTGACCGACTGCAGGGCCTGTTACAGCATCAGTGCTCTGATGAGATTCAAGAATCACTTGTCAAAGAGGTAACCGACGAAGAAGTGAAGAGAGTTCTATTTCACATGCCGAGTAACAAAGCACCAGGCCCGGACGGATTTACATCCAAATTTTTCAAAGCAGCATGGCCTATAGTGGGAAAAGATTTCACCGTGGCAGTGCAGTTTTTTTTCCTTAAGGGTTTTTTGCCGAAAGGAGTTAATGCTACAATCTTAGCTCTCATTCCAAAAAAAGAAGCAGCTAAAGAAATGAAAGACTTCAGGCCAATCTCGTGTTGCAACGTGATATATAAAGTGATATCCAAAATCATTGCAAATCGTCTAAAGGACACACTCCCAGACTTCATTTCCCTAAACCAATCCGCGTTTGTGAGGAACCGGCTTCTCATTGAGAATCTTCTCCTTGCAACTGAATTGGTGGAAGATTATCATAAAGGCTCTATCTCGTTACGGTGTGCGATGAAAATTGACATAGCAAAAGCTTTCGACTCGGTACAGTGGACTTTTCTCCTTAACATCGTTGAGGCATTACGATTCCCAGCGCAGTTTATCCATTGGATTAGGCTCTGTATTTCGACGGCATCGTTTTCAGTACAAATCAATGGAGAGCTCTCAGGACTGTTTCAAAGTGGCAGGGGGTTACGACAGGGCTGTGCACTCTCCCCCTACTTATTCGTCATAATTATGAATACTCTCTAAAAAATGCTAGACAGAGCTGCTTATGAACAGCGCATAGGGTATCACCCGAAATGCAGAACCTTAAGGCTAACCCACCTATGATTCGCAGATGACTTAATTGTCTTTGCAGATGGTAAGATGAGTTCGATGGAAGGGGTTATTGAGGTTTTCAGAGATTTTGCATCATGTTCGGGTCTTAAGATAAGCCTCGAGAAATCCACAGCTTATGTGGCTGGAGTTTCATCTGATACTCGAGCAGTGATCGAAAATCGCTTCCCGTTTGCCATTGGTAGTCTTCCTGTGAAGTACCTTGGGCTGCCTTTAACAACAAAGCGCATGACAGCAACTGAATATGTTCCCTTGTTGGAGAAGATAAGGCCGCGTATCAGTTTGTGGAAGGCTCGGTTTCTGTCTTATGCTGGACGACTGCAATTAATCAAATCGGTTATTGCAAGTACTTTCAATTTCTGGTCATCACCTTTCTGCCTCCCTGGAGTGTGCGTTAAGGAGATCGATCGCCTCTGTGCTGCGTTTATGTGGTCTGGACCGGATCTAAGGTCGAATAAAGCAAAGATAGCTTGGCAGGTGCTCTGTACGCCAAAGGAGGAAGGTGGATTAGGTTTACGGATGGCAAAAGAGGTGAACAAAACATGCTGCTTGAAACTCATCTGGCGGCTTATCAATCCAACGACCTCACTATGGGCACAATGGCTGCGAATGAACATACAGATGAGCAAATGTTTCTGGTCTCTAGAAGAGGAAATGAGTATGGGATCATTGATGTGGAGGAAATTGCTAAAGCTAAGGGATGTGGTATGATCAGTGGTCTCAATTAGGTCAACTTGTTGACCAAACTGGAATACAGGGGTTCATTGACATGGGTATACCTGCACAAGCATCGGTGCATTGGGTGGTCACAAGACACCGATGCCGGCGTCGTTGGAGAACCAACCTCAACGAGTTAGAAAACATCATCGACATTCTGCAGATAGATCAAAAAACAGAGGAGGATGTGGTATTGTGGAAATGTAAGGGAGACAAGTACAAACCCAAGTTCTTCTCTGTTTCTGCTACGATATTGTTTTCAAATTACAGTCCACAGTGTTTGGAAGGAGAGAAATAGCAGGAAGCATGGGGACAGGCCGAAACCAAATTATGTGTTTATGACCTGGCTCTCGATCCATAATCTTCTGTCCACCGGTGACCGGATGATGCAATGGAACACTGCTCCACCAGCCTCTCACGCTTGCGTATTTTTTCAGCACCCAGTAGAAAACAAGAGACCATCTCTTCTTCTCCTGCGGGTACTCATCTTAGATTTGGAAAGCACTCGTTCTCGGGCTTCTTGGAGTGCAATACACCTCCACCTGGAATGATATCATGACGCTGATAAGAACAGAGGACTGGACCGATCCTACCTCTCTGTTTCTGCTACAATATTATTTTCAAATTACAGTCCTCAGTGTTTGGAAGGAGAAAAATAACAGAAAGCATGGGGACAGTCTGAAACCGCCAGCTCATCTCATTCGGTTCATAGACAAGGGAATTCGAAATAGAGTATCCACAATTCAAAATCAAAGGGGTATGACAGATGGTTTGGAGCGATGGTTTAGCACTCGGAGCTAAACTCGCGATGCTGATTTTTATTCCAAATATACTTGCTTAGAATCAAATTAAACTCTTTAAACATTTAGCAGCTTTTTTTGTACAAAGGTTTTTTTTTGGATGAATAAAATTTTACATTCTTTCAAAAAAAAAGAAAAAAAATAAGTTTTTTTGTATTAAAAAAATAAGAGAAGTTTTGGGCTTAAGTTTTTAATGTTTCTTTTACTTTTAGACTTTCAGTTTTAGGGGCCAATATCTTAGAGAGATAACCTGAGACACTCCTCTAAGAGATTATTTATTCTCTCGTCTCATCCTTCATTCTAGCGTCTCCCTTGCGGCTCTCTCACCTTTTAATGGAGCTTGGAAATCTCAAATTTGTCCTTGTAATTTTGGAAGAAGTAAATTATAACAGAAAATTGAAAAATTGGCCAGTCATAGATAAGCAGAGATAAACCAATCAAGAGCGGCGAAACAAAAATTCGTCCAATGAGATATAAGCATGAGTAGCCAATCAGAAGCGAGCTTCTCAAATTTTAACCAATCAGGAGCGTGTCGACATTTTTTAGGCGCCAAAAATTTAGCCAATCAGAACAGGCTTTGTCTTCTTGTCGGGGACCGGGTTGAAAGAGAAACCATTTTTGACCAGCTCGCTCGCTTCACCCCAGCGATCGCTAGAGAACGAATTCTCAGAACTCGAATCCTTCTTGACATTTTGCTGCACTCATCCCTCATCGAAGCTTAATCGAGGTAATTGACATTTCGTTGGATATTCTTTTTTTATTTCGTTATTGGAAAATCGTTGCCTTAGTACCACGATTGGGATTAAATTCGATTA